AGGTGACCTTTTGGCTGCTCAGTTTGCAGAGGCCCCTGGGTCCTTTCTGAGCTCACAACAGCTTTTGGGGCCTGGACTTGCCAGACATCTCCAAAGGTCTTTAAAGAGCTCTTACTCTCGCAAACAGTTTCCCATCAATAAATGGCAGTACTTTCTGCCCAGATGCCTGTTAAGTTTGTCTCTCCCCCTGCAGAGAGTCGCTCTTAGCCAAGCGTTCCCTTGTTGGGAAAGATGCTCTGTGACCCACGGCAGCCTGGTTTGCTGTGATCCCATTTGCCAGTTTGTGACCATAAGTTGGGATGACCTGCCAGTGGCAGGTCATTCTGGGCTCTTGAGTCGGTGGAGGTGTCATGGTGTTAATAACAGCACCTGTGCTGAGTGGGCACAGGTGGATAAAATGGATACCCAGGAAGCTGGAGGAAGGCAAGAGAGGCGTGGGGTGGGCTCAGGGGCTGAGCCAAGCACTTTGATGTTGCACTTGTGGCATCTGGGTAGGCTCTGGCTGCACGGTCCTTCTGGGGACAACAGCCAGGATCAGAGAACCAGTGGCATTGGCGGAGGTGGTGATGATGGTATTGGTGGTGGTGAGAAAGGTGCCTGTTTCTGCCTCTCTTCTTTGCTATTTTCTTCCTTATGATGAAAGTCATAAATTCATTGTATACAGTTAAAAATATAGGTGAGAGGGGAAACGCTGGATCTAATCACTGAGAGATTTCATTTAAAAAATATCTATGGAGCTTCCCCTAAAGCTAGTTTCTAGGTCAGTGATGGTGAACCTTTTGAGCTCGGCGTGTCAGCATTTTGAAAAACCCTAACTTAACTCTGGTGCCATGTCACATATAGACATTTTTTGATATTTGCAACCATAGTAAAACAAAGATTTATATTTTTGATATTTATTTTACATATTTAAATGCCATTTAACAAAGAAAAATCAACCAAAAAATGAGTTTGACACGCGTGTCATAGGTTCGCCATCACTGTTCTAGGTTCTGGGAAGAGAGGGATGATGGAACAGACTTCCTCCTTCCTGGAACTTACACATAGGTGGACAAATGAGTAAGACATTTCCAGAAAGTGGAGAGGGCAACGGAGAAAACAAAACAGAGCCCAGAGTGACTTGGTAGGAGGTTAGTTTAACAAGAGATGATTTATTATTCGCATTTTCATGTGTGCACGTTTCAAGGTCTTTCCCCCTCAGATCTGTCCTTTTCTTCCCCTGCTGATCTAATTATGTGTCATTTATCTAAAATGGGATCATGATGAACATGCTGTGTTGTCACCTTATTTTGTCCCCTTAATATACTTTGAATATCTTCTATTTTATTATTTATTCATCTGCATCATTATTTTATGGGTGCAGAACAATTTATCATGTATATGGCCCTTATGATCGCATGTGGGCTACTTAGGTTGCTGCCAGTGTGTGGAAGGGATGATGCCTCTGGAGTCTGTCCTTTTCCTTCCGTCCTCTCTGCTGCCTCCCTGGCTCAAGCTTGCACCGTCCCTCACTTGGACCATGGGCCTAACAAGTCCTCAGGCTCCATCTTACACTCTTCTGGCCAGATTTTATATTTCTGATCATGTCACTCTTCTGCTCCCAAACTATCATTGGCTCCCTATTGCCTACACAATAAAACCTAAACACGTTAGCTTTATCACTTTTGGGTTGGGCATCAGGAAAACTGGATGGCTTGAGTAAGTACATGAAAAGACACTCAACATTCTTAGTCATTAAGGAAATGCAAATCAAAAACACAATGAGGTACCGCTTCACACTTACTAGGTATTAGGTTGGAGATATACATCTCACCAAAAATATATATATTCACATATATATTCATATATAATGGAGCATAGTAAGTGTTGGCAAGGATGCAGAGAAATTGGAATCCTTGTACATTGCCTGTGGGAATATAAAATGGTGCAGTCTTTGTGGAGAACAGTTTGGCAGTTCCTCAAAAGTTAAACTTAGAATAACTGTACAACCAAACCACTTCTAGGTCCACACCCAAAAGAATTGTGCCAGTGTTCAGTGCAGATTTACAATGGCCAAAAGGTGGAACGATTCCAATGTCCAACAAATGAATGCACAAAATGTTACACGATGGAATATTACTCAGTCATGCAAAGAAGTGAAGTTTTGGTCCGTGCTACGACAGGGATGAATGGTGAAAACGTTTAAGTGGTATAAGCCAGGCACAAAAGGACAAATGCATGATTCCAGTTACATGAAATATATAGTATAGGCAAATTCATAGAGACAGAGAGTGGATCAGAGGCTACCATCTTCAAGAGAATGGGGAGTTATTGCTTGCTGGGTAGAGTTTCTCTTTGGAGTCATGAAAAAGTTGTTTCTAGAGTGGTGATGGTTGTACAAGTGTGAATATAATCAATGCCAATGAACTGTAAACCTAAAAATGGTTAAAATAGTGATTTTTGTGCTATGTATATTTGACCACAAAAAAAAATCAAACCAGCCCTGGCCAGGTAGCTCAGTTGGTTAGAGCATTGTCTGGATACATCAAGGTTGCAGGTTCAATCCCCGGTCAGGGCACATACAGGAATCAATCAATGAATGCATGAATAAGTGGAACAACAAAATCTCTTTCTCTTTCTCTTTCTCTCTTCCTTCTTCTCTCTAAAATCAATAAAAATAATTAAAAAACAAAACAAAACTGGGTGGCTTGTCCACCCTGCCTCCGTGCCTTTGTTCACATGGCGTGCTCTTCCTGGTGCCCACGTCTGTTGCATTTCTGCCCGTTGAGATCCCATTCCATTTTCAAGGCCCATCTCAAATGGCACCTCCTTCCCTGATGGGCCTTTCTAACTGGTTTTTCCTGTCTGTTTGAAATCAACGTGATCTTTGATTTGCTTGGGCTCCCAGAGTACTTTATATGCCCCCTTTGCTCCGTTTCCTTGCCTTAAGCCCCTACTAGGTTGTAAGTTCTTTGGGCACCGGGACCTTACTTACCTTATTCATCTTTGCATTATTCATTAGACAAATACTCAGTGAGCCCATTACGTGCCAGCTTGTAACATAACGCCAGCATACCATAAAAGTTCAATTAATGTTGAACTGAATCGAAATGTCCAAGGAATTTCAGAGTGGTGTAACCTGAAGGAGGAGCCACTTTACTTCCGACTTAAAAGCCTTGTTGGCTCTCATTCTTGGAAGCACTGGGCTCTGATAGGTGTTTTTTCTCTCTTCTGGGAACATATATCACCCATCTTTTGGGGAAATGTTTTCCTTTTCCCTTCCCCCAACTCCAACTCAAGTGACTTGAGAGATCCGCCATGCTTCTTACATTTTGTTCTCTTGGTCACTGTTGATCGGTTCAAGTTGGACAACTGACCCAAGCTGGGTCAGTCAGAGCTTTTCCCTGGGATTTTCAGAACCAGAACAGAGGAGGAGAGCCTGGCAGAGCCTGGCAGAAGCAGACTGCCATCTGTGTACGAAGTTGGTGTGCAGCAGGATAGGGTATGGCTGGCGCACAAAGAGAAGAAGGGAGGCAGAAAGGAAGAGCCACTGGTACCCAGTTGCATCTGTATTTGTCCATCCATGGCTTGCTGTTTAGGTCCTTCATTGTATTCCCTGAGGCAACAAACTCCCCGCTAGTCTAAGTTAGTCTGAGTTGGGGTTCTGTCACTTGTAACCTGGGATGCCTCATCTCTCGCGATTTCTCCTGGGCATTTCCAAAATCTCCTCATTGCTCTTGCCTTTGGTCTCAGGCCCTCTAATTCAGCTCACTAGAATGATGATGCATGCCACATAAGTAATTTTAAAGTTTCCATGAGTCCCATTAAAAGAGTTAAAGGAAGCAGGTGAAATTAATAGCGATATGATATTTAACCCCAAATACCCCCAATATTGGACTTGTAATCAGTATGAAAAATATTAATGAGATAGTCTACATGCCTTTTTTCATACTAAATGTTCAAAGTCCCATGGGTATTTTATGGTTATAACACATGTCAGTTTGAACCAGCCGAATTTCATGTGCTCAGTAGCCACACGAGAGTAATGGCTGCTGTATTGGACAGTGAGTCTCTGCATTCCATTCTCCACCCTGCAGGTAGAATGAAATTTCTGAAATGTAAATGTCACCAGCTCTGAATTTTCAAAAACATGTCCATCCCTGGCTCCCCATTACTTTCAAAATAAACTCCACCTTTGGCCTTTGCGATTGGTTTCCAACTCACCTTCCTAGACTGTCTTTTCATAATCTCTTCGTGCATGGAACCTCCAGCCTCAGCAAACATTCTTGCTTTCCCTCCGAACACATCATTGTTTTCCAGGTCTCTGTGCCTTTGCGCAGATGGTTTCCTGTACATGGAATGCCACTCCTTCTCTTCCTGCTTCTTCATTAGCAAACTTCTTTTCCAAGACCCAATTGAAACGCCTTCTCCTTTTAAAACCTTCCAGGACTTGTCTAGGAAGACTTATTTCCACCCTCCTGTGGGTTCACGTGGTGGTTTGAACGTAGCTCTTATCATATGGCTTGGTAACTGTCCATGTACTTGCTTCCCTCATAGGACCAAGTGCATCACCAGGGAAGGGACCACAACTTATCCATTTGTCTGCTCCTAGTGCCTTTCTCACTAAATGCCCGTCACCAATTCCCTTCATTCATTTAAAAAAATATGTTGTCTGTTTTCTTAATGATGAGAGAGAGAGAGAGAGAGAGAGAGAGAGAGATCCATCAATTGGCTTCTTCCCACATACTACCTACTGGGGATCAAGCCTGAAACCCGGGCATGTGCCCTGACCAGGAATCCAACTGGTGACCTTTTTTTTAAATCTTTAATTTCTTTTTTGGTTAAGGAATTACATATGTGACCTCATTCCCCCCATACAACTGGTGACCTTTTGGTGCATGGGACCATACTCAACCAACTGAGCCACACTGGCCAGGGCCCCTTCATTCATTGTTATTACTTGTCTGGTTTATAGACATGTTCGTTTGGGGACCTCATGATCTAACCCTCTCATTTTACAGATGGGGAAACTGAGGTCCCAGAAGAGAAAAAGACTAAATCTGTTGCCCGCTGGCCCACTTCCTGGCTCGCCCTACTCAACTATCCTGCTGTTCACCGGTAAGTTTCCTGGAAATGTAAAATGATGTTAGCTTGAAGAAGAGATGAGGAAAGCGGATCTGCTTTATGTCGTCAGTGGTTCATGAAATAATACAGTGTAAACAATATGTGTGTGAGACCATATTCCAGAAGCCCTAGAGTTGTTGGATGTGTAATGGGATCCTCTTTCGAGTTCTGGTGTAAAGAGAGAAGAGCATGTGAATCAATGGTTTTTGTAAGTTTTAATCCCTGCCCTCCCCAGTTGGGACTGCTTACGGGTGAGATCCCGCTGCTGTTGGAGCAGAGCCCAGGGATGGAGGCGTTTCTGTGCCTCCCGCAGTAAACATTGTTTGGGGCGGATCATCTGCTTTCTTTGATCGCTGGAAGCATCAACTCTCTTTGTTGTCCCGGCTGAGAGAGATGGTTAGAATGTGCCAGAAGAGCCGTTTGTGTGGATAGCATTGCAGAGTGCTGTTTCATGCGCTTTAACTCAGGGTCTTGGCCGTCCGTTTGTGTGGACAGCATTGCTGTTTCATGCGCTTTAACTCAGGGTCTTGGCCGTCTGACTGCCGGGTAGTCTCAGCCATTTGGAAATGTGACTGTGAATATGGGACTTAGGTAAAAAGACAGCTCTGGGTGAACGTAAGCTTTGTAATTGGACAAAATTGGTCCAAGTTTCTCCTAGCAACCCGTTTGCTGGGAGAGAAGCCAGAGAGCCCAGGAGGAGACAGGGGAAGGGTTAGTTAGGAAAGCAGCTGCCTGGAGCCATTTAGCCCAAGTTCAGGTAGCAAACCTCCCAGGACCTGCGAGCCTCACTGGGGTACAGAGAGCAATGCCCATTTCACAGGCATGTCCCACGTTCTAGAACTGACATGGCAGAAAAGGCATTGAAAAGGCCAAACACTCAGATACGGAGAACAGACCAGTGGTTGCCAGAGAAGGGGCGGGTGGTTGCACGAAGGTGGCCATAACTTCTAGTTATAAGAAAAATAAGTCCTGGGAATATAATACACCGATGGCATGGTGACTATAGCTCACAACACTATAAAGTATACAGCAGTCCCCCCCATCTGTTGTTTGCTTTCCACAGTTTCAGTTACCTGTAGTCAACCGCCGTCTGAAATATTAAATGAAAAATTCCAGAAATAAACATTCATACATTTTAAATTGTGAGCCATTCTGAGTAGCACGATGAGATCTTGCGCTGTCCTGCTCCATCTCGGCCTGGGATGTGAATCACCCCTTTGACAGCATGTCCGTATTGTAGATACTCCCTGCCTGCCCATTCGTCACTTAGTTGCCGTCTGGTTATCAGATCGACTATCTCGGTATTGCAGTGCTTGTGTTCAAGTAATTTTTATTTTACTTAATAACAGTATCAAAGTGTAAGAGCTGTGATACTGGCAATTCAGACATGCCAAAGAGAAGTGTAAACTTTATCATAGGTATGTATGTGTAGGGAAAAACAGAAAACGTAGGATTCAGTGCTATCTAGGGTTTCAGGCATACACTGGGGGTCTTGGAACGTATGCTCTGCAGATTAGGGGGGACTACTGCATTTTCAAGTTGCTGAGAGAGTAGATCTTTTATTTTAACGTAAATCCTCAACTGAGGATATGTTTTTATTGATTTGAGCGAGAGGAAGGGAGAAAGAGAGAGAGAGAGAGGGAGGTAGGGAGGGAGAGAAACATTGATGTGAGAAACATCAATTGGTGAGAGTAGGTCTTAAAAACTCTTTTTTTATATATTTTATTGATTTTTTACAGAGAGGAAGGGAGAGGGATAGAGAGTTAGAAACATTGATGAGAGAGAAACATCGATCAGCTGCCTCCTGCACATCTCCCACTGGGGATGTGCCTGCAACCCAGGTACATGCCCTTGACCGGAATCGAACCTGGGACCTTTCAGTCCGCAGGCCGACGCTCTATCCACTGAGCCAAACCGGTTTCGGCATATATACCTTTCTTCTTGAATAGACAATAAGCTCAATGTGGCCAATACAGCTATGTCTTTTGCTCATTTTTGAGTCTTCACTACTTTGCACAGCAGCTAAGTGAATGAATTTCTAAATAGTTCTAACAGTTTTGCTTCACCTCTAAATCTATGATTCTTCATCTTTTGGAGTTAAACATGCCCTTGACCAGAATTGAACCCGGGACCCTTGAGTCCACAGGCCAATGCTCTATCCTCTGAGCCAAACTGGTTAGGGCTTAAAAACTCTTATCACAAGAAAAAAGTTTGTAAGTATATATGGTGACGGATGTTAACTAGACTTATTGTGGTGATCCTTTCAATCCTATATAATCCTATCTAATAATAGACAAAGATGGTAATTGGCCGTACCTTCCCTACGCCTCCCATGGGCTAATCAGCATGATATGCAAATTAGCCATCAACAAAGATGGCGGCTAATTTGCATACTACAGGCAGGGCGGGACAGCGCGAGCCGCCATCCGGGCCCTGTGTGCAGCAATTGCGCCGCCTAAGCCCCGCCCCGAGCCGGACCCCATGGCGATTAGAGAGCAGGAAAGTGCGGCCTGTAGGCAGCACCCAGCAAGGCCTGCTCCTGGGTTGCCATGGCGATCCTAGAGCAGGAAAGGGCGGCCTGCAGGCAGCCTCCGTGTGTGTCTGCTCCTGGGTTGCTGGAGGCGATCCCAGAGCAGGAAAGGGTGGCCTGCAGGCAGCACCCCACCCTGGCCACAGCTCAAGGGAGAG